AGAAATTAGGCTTAAAATACCTATTTATAAAAGGATGAGTTTGAATTTATGATTCTCTTCACTCCAGTTCAGGAGAACTGTGTTTACACAAATGTGCCCCCATGGGTGCCTATTAGAGACAGTGGTATCAAAACTAGGACCTTTCACATGCTAGGAACACACTAAACCAACTGGACTAGTCATTCTGCCCATATTAGCTCTCTGTGACAAATTCTTTTTATGTCAAAGGTCTGACTGTGAAGGCACTTTAACACATCCAACATCCCAGCCAAACTCTTTCTATGTAACTCATAGCTGTCTATATGGTTCCACTGAGCACTCAGACTCAGCAGGCAGTATGAAGACTGACCAGTAGTGAGAGAAGTAATACTGGAACTCAAATTTGAGCTTACCTTTAAAGATGCATATGTAGCAAAAAGAATGATCCAGCACTGCTCAATAACCAAGTGCCAACAACTATGTAGTCACTGCCTGGTGCACAAAATCCTCCCCAAACTAAAGGCATTAGAGTTGAATGCAGTTATTGTAGACACAGGGCCATGACCGGGTAACTTAGGGTATCATGTTTTACCCTTTAAATTCCCAAGTTTCACTCCCAATAGAGATCTTATATCATAGTAGTGTACCAGACAAAAGACAGCTAGTATTTATACAATTCTTATCTACAATGTGTGTTGAGAAAGAAATTCTATGATACATACAACATTTGAATCTTTTATGCTCCACCTGTAACTGAAAGGAAAGAAAACATTTTGAGGCTCAGGTCATGCTGAGTTCTGTCTCCATAGTTCTTTGGTTCACCCTGTGTCACAGCACAGTGTAAAGTAGAATAGGAAAAAGACAGAAAAGGACTTGTATAATACTTTATAGGATGATGTCATGGAGAACCCAGGCTATGTACTTTGTGACAAAAACTAAAATGTTGCACCCTTATGTTGACTCAAAGTAAGATCAGAGCACCTTTTGCTGGCAGACCAACTTAATAACATGTTTTGTAAGATCAATCCCTCTATGGGGGAGGGACCCTCTAATTATTTGCATGGATGCTCAGGTTTTCAATGGAATATACCCTTAGGATTCAAATATTCGAGGCATGAAGCTTTCCACTACATAGTTTTGGGGAATGACTCAAACTCAATCTAGATGACAGACTCAAGAAACAAGCAGGAGAGGACCCTTAAGGAAAAATACACATTTTTATAGATGATATGCCTGTTAACTTTTGAATAAATATTATATAACAGTTATCTAATGAGGAACCTTTTTATTCAGATAAAAAGGTTTCTGTAGACAAACCATGTTACCTGACACTGGAAGGTTTATGCTCTATTTAAGCAGGAACAAGCTCATACAATTCTATTTCTTCCTCTTCCCTAAGGTAACTCTCTAACACCCACAGTTCACTGTTCAGTTCTGTTGTTCTAATGGGAATTTGACAGAAACATAAGATCACCAAAGTAACTTTTCTTAGAGAAAAGGCAGGCCTTCTTACCTTCAGTGAGGACTCTGATGATGTCGGTTCTTCGTCAGCTGGTGAAGGTGCAGTGGCATTGTCTGGTAAGATGAGGGGGACAGACATTGACAGTCAGCTCATGGTACTGTTTACTACTTATGCAGCGCCTTTGCTTGGTGTGGATAAAAGTACAAGGACTTAGCACACGTGACTAGACCTAATGAACAAGATGGCTGGGCTGCTGCTGAAGTGCTTTTCCTTGAAGGTACATTAAAGCAGAGAAAGACATGGAGAGATATGAGTAACAGAACTGATGCATTTCCAGACAGTAGGAACCCAATGCAGCATAAAATAATCTGTCTTTGATTTGTAAGATGAAATACAAGTCTTCACATGTATTCCATTTGGAGGGACCACTGTGCCTCAGTTTGCATGTGGACGTCAGAGGACATACTGTGGGATTCCAAACTTGTACATGTACAAGATAACCCCTACAGGTCAAAATGCTCAGGGAACATTTTGGAAGATGAGTGGAAAGATGATAAGAGACGAAGGAACAGGACATATGCTGCAGGATAGTGTCTTCTAGACATGAAAGGGACGATAACCCCATGAAATCTCAATAGAGTTGCTAAAACAGGGCCTGCATCAGGTCAGCATCTACTGACCTCCCACCTTAGGTCAAGAGCTAGAGCCAATCAATGATGAGAGAGAGAGAGAGAGAGAGAGAGAGAGAGAGAGAGAGAGAGAGAATCAGTTTTATCTAGGAGTGAACCCCTCATAGCTCGACTTCAAAATAGCAGCACTAAACATGTAGACTTAAGAGCAACATTAAAGGCACTCAAGTGTTTTTGTAACAATAATAGTTATCATAGAAGAGGTTGTGAATTTGAAGGGAGAACATGGGATATGTTGGACTGAGGAGAAGGGGGATAGAATGACATAAATAAAGTATTCAATATTTCATGGACATTGTCATAGTTCATCTCAGCTGTCAAATAGATGATATTCGCACACTGGACATGCAAGTATTAGATTATAGCAGTTAGTTTAGCTGAGGTGGGAAGCTAAATAAACTCTGCATGACATTATTGCTTAGGAAAGGATCGAGACTACATTAAAAAAAGAAAAAAGTGAGCTGAAAACAGACATTTATTCTTCTGTTTTGTTTGTTTGTTTTGAACTAGATTGTAGTTTGACTCTGTCACAATTATCTGCCTCTGTGGATAGCTTTACCCTGTTTATGGTCTGCAAACTTAAATTTCATTGGAAAACAAACCATTCCTTTTTGAGGTTGTTTTATTTACAATATTTTACCACAACTGGGAAAGTAGGTGAGGCAGACATTAAAGTGTAGCTACTGGGAGCAAAAGGTTGGACATTAGGCAGTGGCACCTCCTGAAAAGAGCAAGTGTCCTGGGAAAGACCATCTTCAGATGACCAAGCACACTTACAGACTTTCAAAGCTGCCATTTCCCTAACCTTTACTGATATCTTTCCCACGTTCTCACTCTCCAAGTCCAGTGTGTAACGTGACCATTCCTAGGACCCTAGCCATTCAGATCCAGACCAGGAATTCTGGTACTTCACTTGAATTTTACCCTCAATCATGAGACATTCAAGAATTATGACATCAAGGAAATGTGAGAGAAAGCATGAGAGGGTGGTTCACACATTCCTGTCTATACCAGGGGAAGCTTCAGTGACTCACAGAAGATAAGCCTCTGCTTCACACTGGTTCATGCCATTGAATTAGAGTGCAAGGTGACGGTAAATGCATTTAAAATTTTGGGATTATATTTACAGTTAAAATTTTATATATAGTTATAAATACACACATATGTATATATGTATATATATGATGTACATATAAGTGGACATTATTCATTTTTGTATACATTCATGTGTAAATACAGTATTAACTTATCAATAGATTTAAATGTGAAACAAAATCAGTTTTAGCTACTATACACATTTGGACAAAAGAATAAAATTCCCACAGTACCTTCTGTTTGTATTTCGGTTGTTTTTGTGGAAGGACCGTCAGAGGCTGAAGGTCTCTTTGTATGCTGAGGGGTTACAGTTGTCTTCTGACAAATTCCCCTTAATACTGAAAAAAACTGAGAATGCAGTTATAACAGGGAGTCATGTCAGCTTATTGGCAGAAAACTCAAGAAAACTACCAGCTACTGAGAATTTGTGCATCTGATCTGACTGCTTGTTCCAGGTCCAGTCATCAGAGTGAGACTGGTGTTTCAGGAGGATCACTGCATGTAGTGAACAGTCAGTTAGGCACTGATTGGCCATCACAGGAATCACAGATAAAGCCTAAATATAGATGGATATGAAAACACAAAAGAAAGAGCCACATGACTGAGCATGCTGTGTGAGTGTGCTTCCCGACAGGCATCACGCTAACCCTTCTTACAGCCACAAGGACACAGCGACAGCCATTACAATGCTTTCACACACCAACGCTTCACGAGGACACAAAGACTTTCTTCTTAGTTGGTTAAGGTAATACTTAAGAGAAAAAACAAACAACTGAATACAAGTTATTTCCAGTAGGTGAGTTAGAGCACAGAGGTATTCTAGTCAAAAGGATATCCAGTGTTTACGCAATTCCTTTCTAAAATCTATCTTAAGAGATTCTGTAATACATACTGTGTCTACGCTTTTTAGTCTCCACCTGAAATTTAAAGGAAACAGTATGAGGCAAAGGCCATGCTGAATTCTGTTTGCATGGGTCTTTGGAATGCATGTTAACATGGTATGATGCCAGTGAAAATGGTCAAGAGTCCTATATATTAGT